TAGGGATGCTCAGATCAGGTTTTCTTTTGCCGATTCCGATACTGATCACCAATGAAGCCGATCTCTGCCGATCGCCTGGATTGACTGTTAATTTTTTGCTCTAGGTATAAATGCTACTACGTAATCTGACAAAATTAAAAAATGATCTGGCAATAAATTAACCTTATTTAGGCATAAAATATGCAAAATACTTGCAGGCACAATACAGCAGCTATTCAGTCAAAAGGACAACTGTAAGGCAGTAAGTAACAGTAAAGCTCTCAGTTCCATAAAGTATTAGTCAAATAAATCTGCCTATATCAAATAATGTCAAGTAAAAAAAGGAAACATTCATTCAAAGTCAAACGCAGGTTGCATTAAAATAAACAATCCTGAGTTACTAAATCACAACTTCCTGATAGCATGGCTAGCTGATTAATGCTGGTTCTGATTGGTTGTTTCTGACCGAGCGGAGTAATTCTGCAGAACACAGGAGGAGGCAGGAGAGATCGATTATTTTTTCAGAGATTATCTGTCTTGTGTTAGGACAGCGAAAGTTTTAGTACATATCTGAAATTTTTTCTTTTTTTAAGTTACGTGCTGCAGTTTTGGTGTGAGAGTTCACTGCAGGTGGAGCAGAAACGGCGCTATGTCTGTGAAATATCACTACCAGTAGCGGTTAGGGTTAGGGTTCAACAACGAGAACAGAACCAGCATCTTACACTGCCAGCTCGAAGACTTAAATTATTTTTCAGGTTATTTGTTTAGCTTTCCGACCGTGATGCTAATCCGGGTGAGTGTTGGTAGCTGTGCCCTGCTTTACCAGCTGCTCATTATTGCGTCAAAGGGTGTTTTGTGAGGTTCAGTAATATTCTTACTGTGGTTTATGTGGTCTCTTAAGACTCATGATATGATATTATTTCCCATATCCAAAAAATCAATGGCTATCTGTGTAGAGATTGAATTACATGTCTAACTGGATGAGAATAGAAAGTAGCTCATCTTTGTTTGACATCTGAATGCAACACAACTACTCTACGTGTTAACAGGGGGACTATCAACCTGATGTTACACCCAGTTTACCTTTATAAATGCTTGTTTAATTCCTGGTCAAATAATTCTAGTTGAATAATAATAAAACACATACTTTTTAGTGCTTTTCAAGAGATCCCCTTGAAGAATAAACTTTTATTGTTCATTCCAACTTCTGGTTGTGTCATATGTCATGTACTACAACTCTCATAAGAGAGAGGGTGTGAGAAGGAGTTGTAAATGTATCAGTTTCCTACATAGAGATGATAAAATAAAAGATACAGCATGTGGGTTGCAAAACCACAGAAACTAAAGGAAAAGAAGGCTGCTAGGCTCCTATGAGAGAAATGCATCTATCCATTTGGCCTGATTGTTGGGGTTAAACACTCTTTTCCCAGATCCACCCAGAAGGAGTTGATAACAGTTTCCATCAGCGTCCTGC